TTCAAGAATTTCACCTGCTTTGACGCTCTTAGATGTTTTTTGAGTGCTCGAACTTGCTTTAGTTTTTGGGGGGCGTTTAGCAGTAGTAGCCTATTTTGCAAAACCACAAATATATTTTCGCATAATGTTTGTATTTTTATTTTGTGGTTCAAACCATTTTTCTAGTTTCGCTCATCTCGAGTATTTTTGCTTCTTCCCAACAAAATAAAAATAAAAGTAAAAGCGTTTTTGCCCACCCTAGCCTTTCCACTAGCATCTTCTGAAACAGGATTTGCAGTTGCAGCGGTTTCAGAAGGACGTGCTCGAGAACTTCTTGCAGCTGCGTCGACTTTTTCTGTGCTAGACATATTCAAGATTTATTGATGTGAATAAAGGGAAAGAAATTTACTCGTACGTACGTATGTATGTACGTATTTATGTGAGAATATGAGTACATACATACAAAAGAACACCCTATAGTGTATCAATAGGCATAAAAGGAAATTATGAGTGATACAAAGGATGATGTACTTTTAGATTGTCTACGACGAACAAAATAACGATAGGAACAAACGCGAATGCATAAACGCGCTAAAATGACAATAAGAAACTTCCAATTTGGCTTTTTTTTTTCCTTTTTACTCAAAGAAATCAAACGTTTCAAAAACAAAAAGAGAATTAATAGCTTTATTTCTGCAATACAAATCACGTGTAATATAATTTTGATTTTTTACCAATTTACGATTTTTCTGCTGAATAGATTTATGCGGCAGAAATTTACATAGCGATAGTTACCAAATAGCATAAAAATTTGGCCTTTATCGTTATTACGTTCAGAATTTAAATTCATATTCAAAGAAATACACCATGTACTATGAAATTTTCGACTTGAATTCGGTTGCCAATTTTTTATTAGCATTCGACTATCGATTTACTCTATCATTTGGTATAATATCAGCCAAATATTCAACGGTTGAATTCAGATCGATTCGGCTATTTCATTCAGTGGTCAAATTTCTTATATTCGACTAGTGTTTATGTATATAATTATATTCTTTATAATTTTATTTTTTCAAAAAAATTGTCAATAAATTTTATATTTTAAATAAAATAAATTAAAACCAATTTTGTCATCAAAATTTAATTTTATATCCCAAAATTTAAAATAATTTATTAGCATATATAATTTCAACTAATTTGTATTTTTTAAATAGTTTTTATAATCAAAACATTAATTATAAATTAAATATATATATTTTAAACTATATAAAAACTTGAATTATTTTAAAAATTTTGCAAAATAAATAAAATATATAAAAAGTTCTGAGGTTGTATATTGTAGCTTTGAAACAACTTTTTTTATATAGCTTTTACATTATCATCATTTTTTAATACTAAATTTGTGATAAATATATATAAAATCCAATAAAGTAATATTTAGAAATTTAAACATAAACTTCCTTATTTCACGTATTCACACCTTCACATCAAGTAATTGTATCGATTATCTTTAGTAGATATTTATTAGTAGTTTCATTACAATATTAAGGTTTTTAACATTCTTACCAAAGCATTTAACCCTATAAGAAAGCACATTTTATCAAAAGCTATCGATACCTAAGAAAAAAAAAGTTTAAAACTATATATTTAGTGTTAATGCAGGATCAGATTAGGTTTACAATTTCATATATATTAAAAGTGTCGACACCATTTATTGCTGTCACGGGGAAAGTGATGTTTTACTATCACAATGGGCGTGATCCATTCTCCGATCAAAAATATGGGTCCGTAGCAAGGACAGTGATTTTATGTGGTGACAAAATCAAAATTATGCGGCGGCAAAATCAAATTATGTGATGTGACTAGAGCTGCAGACATTAAAATGTTTATATACTATGAAATGTGACGTGACGTATATTACATGACGTATAACATTACATATAAATTGTATATGACGTAAAGGGTGACGTAGGGTGACGTACTACCTTTGACCTTCTAAATGT